ACTATTACTATAGCATAATGCATATTTAATTTTATTATTTATTTTAAACGTTTTTCTTTCTATTTTGCTAACTACTCTACTTATTTTCTCCTCTTTTTTTTAATTTAATTTTCTTTACACATTTCAATTCAATTATTTATAAATTTATACGTTATCAGATGACCACTTCCTTAGTTGCTTATTTATTTAAACTTACAGTTCTCATTATTTTTCACTTATCCTATTTTCTGCCTATATTTATTTGCACATTCTTATCCGTTTTATTACAATCTATTTAGGATTTTATTTTTATTCCTTAACACATTTTACTTGATTTAATATAGTTGTCGTCTAAATGTTTTGGCTAGCTCCTTTAACACAAATTTCCTTTGGAAATTTTATCAAATGATAAATAACAAATTAGTTCTGTTAATGTTCCATGTATATATCATAATATTTTTCCCTTACTTTGAAGGTAATAATAATTAATTCATGTACACTTACTCATATCTAAATGTTATTTTTTATGCAAAAAACCAATCATTAAATTAGACTCGTTGATCTGACTGAAAATGTAAACCAAAGCAAGGCCTTCTTTATAGCATCTTTTCCTTCAAAGATCATTTAATTAAATTTTGGCATACCAGAATTATCTGCAAAAGACTTCTATGCAATTAATCGTTTTCCTGTGACTACAGCCCCTTTTCCGCTTAGGAATTCACGAGAGTTCATTAAACTAAGTTAATATTCTAAAACTTAAGTATTTTCCTATTGTTACACACAAATAAATATTGTAAAATTTTCTCTTTTTTGGAAGTCTAGAAGCGCTTATTTCTGCAATTGGTGCATACACGATAAACTATTTTTTAAAAAAAGGATTCATCTTCTGCCATCCATTTAACGATCACTGTAGAATTATTCGTTTTGCATCGAGGACAGGGATGTGTTGATAAGCAGCAGATGTATAAATTTGTATGCTAAGATGTAAATTGAATTCAGTCACCAGATTGATGAAGTTCGGTGTCTATATAATTTTAACTTTTATACTTTTAATATATTATTTTTATATTATTTTATTTCAAATAAAATATATTCAACATATGCATATTCGCTATTTCCCTTAAATCGCTGTTCTCGGATTTTTATTTCTATCAGATCTAGATCTATCTAGACATATTTCATACTCCAGGAAAGTTGATTTGTGTAAAACCGTCTTTGCGTATTCAGAGCATGTGAAACTTATTTAGTTATAGTAACTATTATCTCACACAATGAACACGTTTTGATTATTGTGCGAACAAAATAATGTTCTAAAATAAACAATACATTTTGCTCATCTTTCTCTAAAGACGATGCCATTTAACTATTTATAAAGATGTATTTACCCAATTTCGTCTAAGCTGGTGAAGGACTGGTAGAAGAAGGCTATGTGAAATTAAATAGAAATGTCAGCTCAACTCATATCATTGTGGAAAAATTCTTTTTCTACCAGTCCTTAATCACTTTAAACGAAATTGGGTTAATACATCTCATACTACTGATTTACTGGCAGTAAAAAAAACAATACTTAATTTGAAAAATATGTAAAAATTTCCTTCATGCGATCAGATGGGCTTAGATGCGGTATTAATTATAATCAAAGACTTTCGGAAAACGAATGGTCTCAATGGCTCGGACAGCCTTAGAATTGCATATCCTTATGTGACACAGACAGCACAATTAATGAGTTGGAAGAAAATACCACACTTAGAGCTAGGCCAGCATAAGTTTCATATGTGTCTAATTCACAACAGATTAATGTCATCTAAACACATATTCTTTACGCAATCTGGATAGCGGTTAAATAATGAATACACTTAAAATAACCGTACGCTTTGCAATTCGGCCTTTCTACAAACGAATTCCACAATAATTAGCATTTTTGACGGTTATTCTACGAATTTAAGCTTAATTAGACAATTCGGCAACACATAAAATTAGGGTGTTTTTTTATTGTACCAGATGCGACTCTTCAAAGTAGGTAATAACATGAAGATAATAATTTATCGAATTTTTAAAGAAACGAAAGTCACAGTTGATACAAAGTATCTCATGTCAAATAACCCTATACCTTCAACAGTTTCCCACTGAGATGGGGTCCACTTCTTTGGAATTAATATAAACAAACTTCTAAGTTGAATAAGACTATTTTGTCAATGGAAATTAATATTCATCTAAACAAAGTAGCGAAATTTCAAAATTTTTTAGTCTCTATTCTTCAATTGATGACGATAAATGTGTTAGCAAATTGAAGTTATTAGTTGATAATTGCAACACTTTTTCCAGCATTTATAAAGCAAACATAAATTAGGCTTCATTATTCAACAATGCCTTTCTATTGAGCATTACAAATCGGCTATAGACGGCTAATTTTAATATTGTAAAATTCGATTATACTTTTATTAATAATAGTTTATTCTCACTTTTCGTTTAAAGATGACTTTTAATGTGTTAATAGTTTAGTGTTGATAAATAAAATATACGGAAGTTTACTTCAGTATACTGAGTTAAAACCCTTTTTATAGATTTAATTTGAAACAATAAATAAGTTTTATATGATAAAATGTATATATTTATATAATATATAATATATATAATTATATACTAGCTAAATTATTGAGACATTGAATTTGCTGTGTCTATTTTCTTGGTACCATAGATAATTTGAAGTCTATATTTATATATTTTTAAAAAATAGTTTAGCACCTTTCTGAAGCGAACAAATAAATTAACGAATTTACCTCTTTGGCCGATAAGGAATGCAATCTGATGAGTCCAAGGGCCTGGTCCGACTCTAGTCCAAGCGCGAACCTGGCAGGCGTGCTCATTTGGAGGGAGACCGGTGAGAAGCAACATTGTCCGTGTTGTGTTGAAGAATTGTTCTGTGCTTGTCTCTTGACCTTTAACAAAACACCGAACCTGGTCACAGAAAAGAGGAATTAAAAATTGCAATTCTTTCTTATTAAGCATTAAGGAATCAGTACGAGATACTTTCTTTAAAATTAAGATGGAAGTACTGGATTAAAAACTGGAGCGACTAACGAGAACTATTAGCATAAAAATGATGCTAATTTTTTCTTGTGACTATACTCACCGTTCCATAAGATAAAAGATTTAATAAATTAAACACCTAATTTTATTTAATCTATACTATACAAATAAAGGTAAATGAAATATTGGCAGACAGATTTAAAAATGTTTATCGGGCGGATTTGGATAGGACACCTTTATTTGTTTATCGTATTTTTGAAATATCCGAAAAAAAACATTTAAATTGATCAGCCTAAATTGAATTTGCGCTAAACTATTATTCTGTACTACTATTCAACAAATATATCCTACCCTGAGATTTCTTCTTCAAGATAGTGGACTATAAGCTAAAAATAATTTCAATACAATCGTAGCTTTGACTAATGTATTCAGAAAGTTAAAAATAAACGTGTTAAAGAATGAAAACAAGAAATGATCTTTACATAATAATTGTAAGGTTGAGATAAGTAACTTTCCTACCAATTGTGGATAGATCATTGCTGATACGCAAGGAATATTTTGTGATACCATTTAATTTAATAAATTATTATTTTACCCATTATACGAAGACATAGAGGAAGCCGCATGATAAGATTTTTCGCGATCTTAATATGACATGTATTTAGGACACAAATATAAGCAATAATAAGCGAGCCTTATATTGCAAAGTTTCTCCAAATTGATATGTTTTAGTTCAAGTTTATGGCAATTTTATCTAGGCTTAGTTGATCACAATAAGTAGTAGAGATAAGTAGATAACAAAATTTTAATACTTGTCAAATCCAATTCCAACTCTTATGCTTTTTGTTTTAATATATAATCTCTCAGAAGTATTGTGTATCGATATATGATATTTATCCTGTAGATAAATAAACAAGAGGCTAATACAATATTTATGCTTTAAGAGTGCTTATCTATTTTTCCAAAACAATGAATGCTGACAGAGTATAGTATCAAAAATGTATTAAATTTTCATTATACACAAGTCGACTAAACACATATCAACTTTAAGCTTTTCTAATTGCGAGGTGTTAGCCTCATCCACACTTTAAAAACTGTTCTGCATATGTTGACCTACATAGTTGGGAACATTCTAATAAAGTTTTAAAGGAAAATTAACTTAATTAAAAATACCATTCCCACTTAGTTTCATATCCACATATTTAATCACTTCAGACGATCGACTAAATACCTGGTTACTGCCACTTTCCAACATTTAGTTAATTTATTTGAAGTTGCAATGCGGCACAGACTTGAATGTATTTGTTTAGGAACTTGTTTTTGCATGGGCACTTTATTTGCTGTATGAAACAGATTTTGTTTATAATTTGACAAATGTGTACGTGCGGCCTTGGCCAAATACCTACGACGCATTAAACCAGAATAAGAAACGTATTTTTGTCAATTAAATTTATCTCACCCAAGTATTCCGGTAGTTGAAACCAGCAGTTGATTAAAATTAAGTTTAATGAAGAGTTAGCCTAAGTTAAAGTTTCACAGAAAGTGAAATAGTGTAAAAAAAACACTTACAATCATCTGTCAATTTCAGTCGTGTTATTCTATATCTGGTTGCTAGTCTAGATTCAACCTTGTTTTGTGTAACATCCAAAAGTCTAAATATTATAATTCACATTTATTTATTCTTTCGGTTAAATCAATGCATACTCAACCATTACCGAGAAGATGATTGGCGATGAAAATTGCAAACTCAATGAAC